TTTCTGGAAAAAAAAAAAAAAAAAAAAAAAAAAAAAAAAAAAAAAAAAAGTAAAAGTAAATGCAGTAATGGAAAGAAAAGACCATAAAAATAATGCAAAAAGTGATATGCCTACATTCTACTAATTAAATACTAGAGTAGCCAATTATATTTGTCCTTCATACTCACAGGCAATATTCCTGAATATTTAAATTTTAATACCAAAATGCAACTCCCATTTACATGGATGTGTACTGGATAAGCAGTATCCCAAATCAGTGACATTTGAACTGAAGATGTTCTCAAGATATATCTTAGTTCAAAAGACCTGTTCATAAACTTTTCATTACAGCTTGGTATCCTTCTGAGATTGCATATCCATATCAGCTGGAAGGATGAGCAGAATCCACCACAAAAATAAGTCATTCTTACATAATTTCCTCTTCCTGAAGGAAGAGGAAAAGTAAAGGTATCAAGTAATGTTTAGTATGAACCTAACCAAAATGATTTGAAGTGGAAAATGCAAACCTTTGTGAATAACCATGAACACAAAATCCAACTTTGGCTTGGAAGGAAAAACTGAATGACTCATTGTTGAAGGGGACAGATTAAAAACAGAGTAAACACAGAGTAAATACAGGCATTTAACATTTAAAATAAATTGTCAGCATAAAAAGTTTAGCACAACCCTGTGATGTTCAAAGGGATGGTGAAGTAGAAGTGATGGACAAGTGCTTTTTTCTCCAACTGCAGGATCAGTAACAATCCCACAGTTACATTTAGAGAATTTGTGCATTTTGGAAAGGATATGGGAAAATAGAGGTGAAGGAAGAGACACAAAACTGAATACTGGAGAACACGTTACAGTGAAAGTCTTAAGAGATCTCAGATCTATTTTATTTTATTTTAGCTGACTTGAACAAATATGTAGCAGTCATTACAGGAAAACAAATACCACCTGTAAGTGCCATCAGAAAACAATGGAACAATGGCTCAAAGCTGAATCTGGTCAAATTTAAATTGGGTGAAAGATTATGATTCTTCATTTAATGAAATAGTTAATTTTGCTATGAAGATAAATAGTGGATTAAATCAAAAGAGTTTCCCACTTCAAAGAAAAAATGCAAGGGAGTAACAGCACAAAATGTAAAAACTTGTGAGTTTACACTACAGAGTCCAATGGCCCATTCTGGTTTGAACCCCAGCCCTGTGCTGTGAGGAGAAGCACCATGTCTGGGCTCCTCAGAAGCCATTTGAAATGCAAGGGAGCGTTGTCTCACTGTCCTGGGAAAGCCATCATAGGATGGAGAGCAGCTGCACGGCCCTCAGCTTCATGTGCCAGGGTCATGGTGACTGGGACAGGAACTTCGGGGAGTGGTCTCAGGGCTTACCTGCAGCTTGTGGAGCAGCAAACACAGTCCTGCTGTGAGATGGAATGGCAGCTGTGCACCTGGAATGGCAGCTGTACACCTGGAAGAGACACAGCACATGAGAACAGGGATACAGGACTTCTGCAATAAACTAGCTGAGTTTCACCTGGTATTTCAAAAGGAAGCCTATATCAAAGAAAGACACAGCATTATGTCCCATAACTACACAACATAAAGACAAAAAAGAGGAAGTTTTTTTCTACAAGACTTGATGAACTTTTACATATTAACAAATTTAAGGGAATTGTCATATGCCAATAGATGAAACAACAAAGTAACATGGTAAACCATCTTCTGTCTTGCAGGTCCCATAACCTTTCAGCACATCAAACTGGGGGCACTCTCTTGCTGGATGCATATTTAGTTGTGTGCTCAGCTTTGCATGCAAATAAATTCACAATTTTATTACTTTTATAAAGTAACCAACTCAATTTCTTAAACTGAATTTAGTACCTGAAAATTCTTAAATTGTCTTTGTAGATTGTTAGAGAACATTAATTAATACACAAAACTTATATTTTTTCTCATCTTCACAGCAAACACAAGGTTGCGTTTAGGAGAATATATAAGGAAAGTATTAATCTACAATCATGTGTCTAGTACAATAAATACAATACTAAGAGAAAACACGTGTAGCAGAACCACTATGCTGGCAAAATATATTTAGCCTACACAGTAAGAAATCCTCTGAACTGTTCGTAATCAACAGATCATATTTAGTGCCTTCCTTTCATTAACATGGAGTTTTTCAAGAAGTGGGATAAGTTAGAAAGTTATTGTTACCCTCAGAGAAAGCATAGGATTTTTAAACAAGGAGCCCCTCAGTTTCTGAGAGCTCAATTAGTATTAATTACAAGTTTAAAGAAGCACCACAACATATTTACATTGATAGTATAGGCATATCTACAGCACAATTACTGTCACTTCAATAAGTGCAGTCATGCATTACACATGCCTTTCTAGGATCAAAGTGGTGACAGATCCAGTCCAAGCTCCTGCTATCAGAGGCAGGACTGTGTTTCACATTCCCTTTCATAAATGTATCATTTTCTACCTTGCAAACGGTTAGACGTGTGTGGAAAAACAAAACCTGACTGCTTTATTGAGAGTCTCCTCCAGAACACTACTGCTTTTATGGCTAGAAATATTCTAACTTCCAGTCTGATTTTCTGCCAATTATTTCTGTCCCAGCATTGTTCCTCAGATTAGATTGCTCTCCTTCACTCACAATTGTCCTGTTCCCACTGTTTTCTCTTGGCCTTTATTTTACTGAAGAGAAATAAACCTGTTAGTATGCTCACAATAACCTTTCCCTTCCCACTGTTTGTTTTAGTCCCATTTCTTTCTCTGTTTGCTACACCTGAGTTCGTGTTTCCTACACCTGGGCACTCCAAATGCTTGGCAGCATTCCTGGGGAGGTTGCTGTGGTGCCTCACGTGGAAGCATTACTAATTTTATTTCATTATCTGAAAGGTCCAACTTGATACTATTTTAAATTGCATAAACCTTGCTCACAGACTTATCAGATCACTGGAGTTGCAGTTATTTTGGATGAAATTGCTCTTACCTAGTTTTAAGCAGCATCTCTGAGCTAGTCACTGCAGGTCCTTTAGAATCAGAGAGACACTTCACAGCATGATTCATCTGATCTATTTTTAGAGATTCTGACTTGATGAAATCTGTTCTGCCCTAGAAATACTCTTCACTGACCATGCCTAAGCAAATACCTCAGTTGGAGAGAGCTCGACTGAATCAACTGAAGAGCTTATTTTGTGGTTTATTAATATAGCCAGCTCCTTCATTTCCTTTAAAAAATCTTGAGATAGCAGATAATAGCAGAAGAAATCATAACCATGTACATAACTAAGTTTTCAGACTTCATCCTGTTTCCATTCCCCACAGTCTCTCAGTTGTGAAGCTTTCTCTGGATTATTCACTGATGGTACTTTTGAATTGCATATTGAAAATGGCTCTTCTAGCACAATTTTAAAATCCACAATAACTAGAGGCAGCAAAATTTTCCCTCAGAAATCAAGTGCTTATGTAATGATTTGACAGAATTATGGTTTGACAACTGATATTCTAGACTAGCACATGAGAAAGAGGAAGGTATTTTAAAATATGCTGAATTTTGATCAGTCATAAATGAAAGGATGTAGACTTGGGTAAGTTGGCAGGATGCTTTTTGCCACCTCTACCAAACCTCACTAACTACCCCTGCTAAGCAAAAAGCTTGAAATAGTTTAATAGCAAAAGATAAAAAAACCAAACCAAAACAAAAAACCCAAGCAAAAATATATATTTCTATTGTCTTCTCCAATGGAATGATTACAGAATTTTTCTGCACAAAGAGCAGATTAAAATCAGAAGGAATTTGATACTTTCCCTCAACTCCAGAGGCAAATCAAGATAGTTACTGTACTATATGATCTCACAGTGGATTATTATTTAAAAATTTGCTACTGTTGAATCTTAAGAATTTGCCTGAAATCCTCCAAATATAAGTTATAAAAGAGAAAATATAGTAAACGCTATACCAGTTTTTCTTTGCTTTGTGAAATAAGTGCTAGTACAGATAGATAGGTTTTACAGATAAAGATATTTTGCAGCAAGTAACAGGCTGTACTGAATATCTCAGGAGTTTGACTTGGCCAATACAAAGTCATGAAGTTTTTTTTTCACATCTCACCAGTCCTGCTTACATAGAAGCATTTGAACAATTTTTCACACGACACAAGTGCTAGAACAAAATTCTATATGAGAGGGGATAACTAAAGAAATTTTAATGAAAATCACTGTCAGTCAAATTATAGAATATTTGGAAGATGGCTGAACACAAGTACAAACAATTCAAAGTGGAGTTGTTCACTAAAGCAGAAGTTATTATTGCTATTCGTTATCCTACTTGGTGCTCAGAAATCCAAAATCAGAACAACTCTCAGAAGAGCAAACCCTGAAGAACTTCACTCCTTGAATCACAATACCAAAATGACTAAATTCCAGATTGTTCAGGCTCACGGACAAATTCATGGACAGGATGTCCATAAAGAGATACTGAAGGGCATGAGTCTGATATCCCCTCTAGCATCACACATCCAAAAATGATGGATTCCAAGGGACTGTGAGGGAAATAGATTTCCATTCAGACCCAAAATCCCAGTCACAGAAGGTTCAAGGGATGTCATTTCACATAAATATGAAAGATTTTTTTTCAGAATGTAATTTCTGATACTTTTTAATGTCAGAATATCAACCATCATGCCCCTCATAAACCAAAAATCATCAGATTTTTTATTCTTTATAAAAATTCTATTTTCTTAGGTCAGAACTATTATAAAAATGACATCGACAGTCGCATAATTAAGCATATACACTGATCTTTTCAAAGTTCCTTTTTTCTGAAATGACTGGTCTTGTTTTGCAGTCTGCTATGTATTCTTTCACATAAAACTTTGAATGCTTGCTCTAGTTTGCAAAGCACCCTACTCTCAAGCATAAACAGGATTTCTTCACAAGTAATTCTTGGCAGTAATGTATAACTTCCAGAGCTCTTCAATATATACAAATACAAGGCAAATTTCCACCCCTGATTCTGAAATAGGATACAATAATTCTACCAAAGGTTTATGTTTGGTGTATAATAAAAACCAGTCAATTTTTCTTCCTGAAAACTCCCTCTTTCATGATTAACTCTTTAGTTAGGCAAGGGAAAAATCAAATATGAAAAAAAAATGTAAAAGGAAGAGGCAAATGCTGAGTAAAAAAGGCATTTTAAATAAGAAGAATCTTTGTGATGGTCTTCTGAAAATATTAGAAAGGCAAAACCAGACATGTTTTCTACTTGTTTTCTATTATTTTCTACTTGTTTTCTATTGGTTTCTACTTTAGGATAATGCATCTTCTTGCAGATCAGAAAGCAAACCATATTCTGGGTTGCATCAAAAGCAGCATGGCCAGCAGATGCCTCTTGCTCTGGACTCCACTCTCATGAGATCCCACCTGGAGTTTTGTGTCCAGCTCTGGGGTTCCCAGACTTGGATTTGTTGGAGAGAGGCCAGAGGAGGCTACAAAAATGACCAGAAGCCTGGAGCAACTCTCTTACGAAGACAAGATGAGAGAGTTCAGTTGTCAGGCCAGGAGGAGAGAAGGCTTGGGGAAAACCTTACTGGGACCCTTCAATACTTGAGGAGATTTAGAAAGCTGGAAGCGACTTTTTACAAGCACTTGTAGCAATAAGACTGAGGGTATGAATTCAAGCTAAAAGAGAATACATATAGGTTAGTACTAGGAAGAAATTCTTCCCTCTGAGGGTGGTGAGACACTGGCACATTTCCAGAGAAGCTGTGGATGCCCCATCCCTGACAATGTCCAACGCCAGGTCAGACGGGGCATTCAGCAGCCCAGTCTAGTGGAAGGTGTCCCTGCTTGTGGCAGGGGGGTTGGAACAAGATCATCATGACCCTAAGATGAGCTCAGTTGGTCAGAGCATGGTGTTAATACTGAGTTTGATCCCTGTATGCACCATTTAGTTTAGGGGTGGACTTGGTGATCCTTGTTGGTCCTATCCAGCTCAGAATAGTCTGTAAGTTTGTGATCTTTCATGTCCCCTCCAACCAAAACTATTCCATGATCTATGGCTGTTTGGCAGGACCAGCTCTTTGCAATAAATATTTTTGCCCTGAGATTGTGTCACTTGTGATTGTGATCTTAACTTAGCCAGATTCTACACAAGAACAAAGCTGTTATTGCTGTTGTTTTGCATGTCTCTGTTAAAAAGCTATGACAAATATCAGGTTATTTTGGACTAACATTATTAATGTTAAAGATTCCCTTTCTGTGAACAGCATATAAGCATTAAAAGGACTTCTACTTATCAATAACAGAGGCTCAGAAAATGACAGCCCTGAAAAGAACCTCATACACTTGAGATGCTCCTGGAATCAGACTAACTTCTATTTCAAAACATCAGAGAACTATGACACTGAGTGAGAAAATGTGACTTTCTGATCATTTGAGAGTTCTTCTCGCACCAGTTATTTA